TTTTTCTTCATATAACCCAGCTTCTTGAATTATTTGCTCAGCATAGTTTGAGTAGTATGGGGAAATAATACAAACTTGTCACACACCTTTATTAATTTTAAACCATTCAGTGTTCTCATGTTCTGTTCAAACAATACAGACTCTTTATTAGGTCTTAAACGTAAACACAAGACAAAGGCAGATGTAGATCTAATGGGAGGGAAATTGTAGACCCCATGATGAGTCCCCAAAGTTCTGTCTCCATGTGGTGACCTTTATAGGGCTCAGAGAACAAAGGGAACTCCTCCGACAACCATGACTGATGGCAGCAGGCAGTGTGCATTATATATGCGTGCCAGTTCTTTGCAAACCAGGAAGGGCCCCACTGCAGACAGCAGAGCTTACAGACAGTCTCTGAGGTTCTCGGGGTGTGACATCACAGCCAGATGACCATACGATGTGCCCAGGAGTGTTTCTGCTAGGGAGTGCCTCAAAACACACTTTAAAATATGCTGTTTACCTGTCAGAGATGCATGAGGTACTCAAGAAAAATTGGCATCCGAACACTTCAGCCAAAGCGAAAGATGGAATTAAGCTCGGGCAGGCTGGAGTCTCACAGGCCAAAGGTTCCTGATTTCAGGCTCCACAGTGGGACACACTGCTGAGGGCTGAACTGCTCGTGAGGGATGGGGACAGTTCCAGGCAAGCAGAGGAGGCAGAGACCTCGATAAATCTGGGTAGGCGGCAACTCTGCCCTCAGATAGAGGGTGTTTGAAAGTGGATCCCCTAGCCAGGCCAAGGAAGACAGCCTGTCCTTCACGTATTTGCCTGGATACGTCCTTAATGGAAACTGGGGTACCAGAGCAGAATGACCATGCATCACGTCACGCCCAGACCAAGGTGCTCAGGGGCCCCAGAATGGATCCTGTAAGCTTTTCTAATCTTAATACATAAATATCCTGAACACGATCCCCTTGTACCCTCTGTAATTCCAGCTGTTATTGTGACCAGATAATCTGGTGCCAATGTTGACCCTATGACAAAGAGAATTCCCTTTGTTCTCGGTGCCCTATAATTCAGCACGTGGATGTGAATTCTTTGGACTTTGTGTTATGGCTTTGTGTTAATATGGTCTCCCTCACCCGAATGATGTGTCTTGTCTTTACGTTGTTTGTTGTTATGTGCCATGGAGTTGGTTCCGACTCACAGCTACCCTGTTCAGGGCTTCTGAGGCTGCAAATCTTTACAGAAGCAGAAAGCCTCATGTTTCTCTCGCAGAGCAGCTGGTAGTTACCCTGCTTAGGACTTTAATAAGAGTGTCTCAGTGGCACTGTGGGATAAGCACTGGACTGCTAAGGAAGAAGGGTTGGCAGTTTGAGCTCACCCAGAGGTGCAAGGACAGAAATGCCTGGAGATCCACTTGCAGGATTTCAGCACTGAGAACTCCTTGGGGCATAGTTCTCTGACTGGGAGCACCACGAATGGGAGCACCGTGAATGCGGCTGGACTCAGAGCACAAGGTCCTTCTTTTTACTCTGGCCTGGTTCACTCCGCTGAGGAACTGGGCTGCAGCAGTAAAGGGGGTGAGGGTGTGAGTGTTTCCTGGCGTCACTCAGAGATTGGAGTAGAGGCAGAGCATTCCTGAACTCTCCCCACCTGGAAAGCCTTCAGCTGTGGAGACCATGGAGGAATCTCCCATAGAACCAGATGAGACATTCTGTGCCTGCAAAGATTTTATAGCCTCAGAAACCCTGCCTCAGGGTCACTGTGAGTCAGAGCCAACTGAACAGCAACAACCCGTGACTTGGGGAGTCTGAGTCCAGAGTAGCCAGTCTTGGTAACATAGATGCACTATGCTGGGTCTCAGTTTGTTGTGTTAAGTATCCTCCAGTCATTTCCAACTCATAGCTACTCTGTATAGGCTTTTCAAGTAGTGGCTGATGGGTTTGAACCACTGACCTTGTGGTTAGCAGCCCTGTGCTTATCCTAAGCAAGACTCAGGGTCTCAGTTTACCTGTATTTAAAAAAAAAAAAAAAGATGGAGTCGACCATGTGACCTTATTTTTTCAGGTCTAAAATGCTGTGGACTCCTGGTGTGGTACTACAGGATAATTAATTACTGGACTGCAAACCACAAGGTCAGCAGTTCAAACCCACCAGCTGCTCCTTGGAAACCATCCAGGGTTTCTATGAGTTGGAATAGACTGACGTCACTTAACAACAATAACATAAATGCAGAGAAATGGGGGAAAAAGAGAGCCCCCCTTCTGCCCCTGTGAGACATGCTGAATGTCTCCACGTTGGTTTACAGAAAACCTCATTGACAACAGACATCAATACCACCACACCACGGTTTTCGTGATTTCATTAAACACCACTGTTGCTTAGGTCCTGCGTAGCAACAGGAGGTCCGGGGTGGTGGTGGTTGGGGGGTTGGCTCCACCTTGTCTCCACCGCTGAGCTGAGACTAGGGCAGTGCTTTCAGGTCCAGCGGTCCACCCTGTCCCCACATCTGTCTGAGATGCAGTTCTGAGGTGACACTGGGCTGTGGTTCTAGGTGGGGGGTCCACCCTGTCCCCACATCTGCCTGAGATGGCAGTTCCGAAGTGACACTGGGCTGTGGTTCCAGGTGGGGGGTCCGCCCTGACCCCACGTCTGTCTGAGATGCAGTTCTGAGGTGACCTGGGCTGTGGTTCTAGGTGGGGGGTCCACCCTGTCTCCATGTCTGTCTGAGATGCAGTTCTGAGGTGACCTGGGCTGTGGTTCTAGGTGGGGGGTCCACCCTGTCTCCATGTCTGTCTGAGATGCAGTTCTGAGGTGACACTGGGCTGTGGCAAACACAAGGGAGAGAGGAAAAGACAAGAGAGGATCCGGGGATATGTCCTGAGACACAGGCGGACTACAGGTTTGCAGGAGGAAATTGAGGTGAGTCAGGAAATGGGGGACCTTTTTCACGTCATAGGAAACATCAGCCGCCATAATTCATCATCTCCTCCATTACAGCACTCCTGTGGCTTCTTTAGACCAGCGTTTGGAAGCTACTGTTTTATGATGATGAGCAGACATTTTGGTTTAAAAACAATCACTTTGCTCTGACCATGCAAAGAGCAGCCTGTTAAGGAAGATACCTCTTTCTTGAATATAATTTTGCATGGAAAACAAGATTTCATCTAGAAGAGGGGGACACCTGTACTACTAGTTCACAGTAACTTATCCTAAGTAGAGCACAGGCCGACTCACCGACCCCGGCCCTCAGTAACAGTGCCTGGCTTCATTCATAATTGTCCTGCCCCTAGTGGGTTTGAGCTCAGGATTGAGAAAGCAAAGCCGGCAAAACGCTGACAGAATTTTCCTGAGGCGAACAGGCAAAATTAGGACCAGGATTTAGATTGCGGCAGTCCAAACTATGGGTGCACACTTACTGCTAATTTAGGAATCTATGCTTGGTACAAAGAAGTGGCTTGTGAGCAGGGCTGCTAACCCCAGGGTCAGTAGTTCTAATCTACCAGTCGCTCAGCGGGAGAAAGATGAGGTGTTTTGCTCCGGTAAAGATTTACAGCCTCGGAAACAGACTCTGGTCATCAGCACCTGGGAACCCCGTGCCACGTCCACAAACACACCCGGTTACAGAACTCGTGAGTTAAACCGACCAGGAGCGTGCACTAAGGGACAAAGCTGCTTTCCATCCATTACTGAGCCAGGATTTTTGTTGTTATATGTTAACTGCCTTTAAACTGGAACCGGAGACAAGGTTTGGCTAACGCATTTCCGTCCGGATTTGGGTTTCTGGTCGCCCCGCAAGCACCGAACTTTTCTGATGCTCTGCGGTTCCGATGCTTCCCTGGCATCCTCCTTACCTTCCCGTAAAAGCGCTAGGTTCTACCTGGCTCCCTCGCGCCTGGGGCCTCGGAGGCCGCACCTCCTGCCAGGGAGGCCTGGGCGCAGGGGTGATCCCACTCCCTCCCTCACCGCCTGCAGAGACCCCTCCTAGGGGCAGGAAGCTTAAAGACATCTGGGCCCTGTGGGAAGCCTAGGGAGGCCCCGAGGGCGCGGGGCGGTCCGTGCACCCGGGTCCTGGAACCGCGCATTTGAGCTGGACTTGATGGAAACCTTTCATCCTTCTGTTGAACCATTTCGGGAAAATACGAAACCATAGATGGTAATTTGACTTGTGCTGTTCCCCACCTTTGGGTCTACCGCTGTGTGAACTCCGAAAGACGCGCAGGGGCAGTGCTTAGGAGCCACCACAGGTGGGGGGTACGCGTTCCTGCCTTCTGAAAGCTCCCTCCTCCAATCAGAAAGGGGTGGCCTGGCCTCAGGCCCCTCCACGAGCTCGCCGAGGGCCCTCCACCCGCACGCTCAGTCCCCCGCACGTACCCCCGGCGGTCGAGCTGCCACGCAGGTCAGGTGACAGGAGACGTCTTGGCGATGCAGGACCATGCTCTCTACTGAATGCTCCACAGGGCGACAAGATCCCTCAAAAGCGCTGCCACTAAACTCCCTGAATGGGGCGCCACCTGTCCAGGCGCGGCGGCCCAGGGACTACCTTGCGCTGTCCCCATTTGACCCCCTTAGCCCACCTGACCAAGCCAGAGCGCAGCCTCAACGGACCCCTAGGGACCCGCAAGGAAGAGGCCCCTGGAAGAGCGCGCTCACCCCTCTAGGTCAGTGTCCGGGCCCATTCCCTCCCGGCTGGCCTGCACCTACCTGGGCCCTGAGCTTACACCACATCTCCATTCGGTTGCGCCGCTTTGGCCTTTATCCGGCCTCCCCAAAGTCGCCACGTCGGGGTGGTGGAAAGGGTTGGAGGCCACCTAGGGGTCTGGGAGACCTGGAGGGAGTGTCCGAAAAGTAGGCGCTGGGGCAAAGTAGCACTATGTGGCAGATGGGAGATCTTGGGGGGTGGGTTACGGGTTGGGTAACAAGTAAGGGGGTCCCGTTCGGGTAGGGTGCGTGACGCGGGGGAGGTCAAGCACGGTAGGGAGCTCCAGGGTTTCGCCTGTGTGGGCGGGGCGGGCCGGGGGCGGGGCCGGGGGCGTGCTGCGGG